CCTCCACCTTAGTGTCTGGCACCTTTTTGTGTCATTCTTTGGCACTGATTGACGCGCGGTCCGTTTGCTTTTATAGCCCCCCACCAATCCAGTGAGCTGATTGGAAAACTTCCTTCTTTTGATGAACTTTTTCTTCCTCGGGCATGTGCCGGCTCGGATCCCGGGTCAATACATGCCGCATTAAAAGGAGAAATCGCTGATTTGATCCCAGTGGAAAACGCTCAACATGCCTCAGCACAGATCAGTGCATTGAAATGAAGCAGCCCACGCTAACCCTTCCCCGTGGTGCTGCAGGTGAGAGGAGACATTGACATCTCCGGGGCTGCAGGTGAGAGGAGACATTGACATCTCCGGGGCTGCAGGTGAGAGGAGACATTGACATCTCCGGGGCTGCAGGTGAGAGGAGACATTGACATCTCCGGGGCTGCAGGTGAGAGGAGACATTGACATCTCCGGTGCTGCAGGTGAGAGGAGACATTGACATCTCAGGTGCTGCAGGTGAGAGGAGACATTGACATCTCAGGTGCTGCAGGTGAGAGGAGACATTGACATCTCAGGTGCTGCAGGTGAGAGGAGACATTGACATCTCTGGGGCTGCAGGTGAGAGGAGACATTGACATCTCCGGGGCTGCAGGTGAGAGGAGACATTGACATCTCAGGTTCTGCAGGTGAGAGGAGACATTGACATCTCAGGTGCTGCAGGTGAGAGGAGACATTGACATCTCCGGGGCTGCAGGTGAGAGGAGACATTGACATCTCAGGTGCTGCAGGTGAGAGGAGACATTGACATGTCAGGTGCTGAAGGTGAGAGGAGACATTGACATGTCAGGTGCTGCAGGTGAGAGGAGACATTGACATCTCCGGGGCTGCAGGTGAGAGGAGACATTGACATCTCCGGGGCTGCAGGTGAGAGGAGACATTGACATCTCCGGGGCTGCAGGTGAGAGGAGACATTGACATCTCAGGTTCTGCAGGTGAGAGGAGACATTGACATCTCAGGTGCTGCAGGTGAGAGGAGACATTGACATCTCAGGTGCTGCAGGTGAGAGGAGACATTGACATCTCTGGGGCTGCAGGTGAGAGGAGACATTGACATCTCTGGGGCTGCAGGTGAGAGGAGACATTGACATCTCTGGGGCTGCAGGTGAGAGGAGACATTGACATCTCAGGTGCTGCAGGTGAGAGGAGACATAGACATCTCCGGTGCTGCAGGTGAGAGGAGACATTGACATCTCCGGGGCTGCAGGTGAGAGGAGACATTGACATCTCAGGTTCTGCAGGTGAGAGGAGACATTGACATCTCAGGTGCTGCAGGTGAGAGGAGACATTGACATCTCCGGGGCTGCAGGTGAGAGGAGACATTGACATCTCAGGTGCTGCAGGTGAGAGGAGACATTGACATGTCAGGTGCTGAAGGTGAGAGGAGACATTGACATGTCAGGTGCTGCAGGTGAGAGGAGACATTGAAATCTCTGGGGCTGCAGGTGAGAGGAGACATTGACATCTCTGGGGCTGCAGGTGAGAGGAGACATTGACATCTCTGGGGCTGCAGGTGAGAGGAGACATTGACATCTCTGGGGCTGCAGGTGAGAGGAGACATTGACATCTCAGGTGCTGCAGGTGAGAGGAGACATTGACATCTCCGGGGCTGCAGGTGAGAGGAGACATTGACATGTCAGGTGCTGAAGGTGAGAGGAGACATTGACATGTCAGGTGCTGCAGGTGAGAGGAGACATTGACATCTCCGGGGCTGCAGGTGAGAGGAGACATTGACATCTCCGGTGCTGCAGGTGAGAGGAGACATTGACATCTCAGGTGCTGCAGGTGAGAGGAGACATTGACATCTCAGGTGCTGCAGGTGAGAGGAGACATTGACATCTCAGGTGCTGCAGGTGAGAGGAGACATTGACATCTCTGGGGCTGCAGGTGAGAGGAGACATTGACATCTCCGGGGCTGCAGGTGAGAGGAGACATTGACATCTCCGGGGCTGCAGGTGAGAGGAGACATTGACATCTCAGGTGCTGCAGGTGAGAGGAGACATAGACATCTCCGGTGCTGCAGGTGAGAGGAGACATTGACATCTCCGGGGCTGCAGGTGAGAGGAGACATTGACATCTCAGGTTCTGCAGGTGAGAGGAGACATTGACATCTCAGGTGCTGCAGGTGAGAGGAGACATTGACATCTCCGAGGGGGCTGCAGGTGAGAGGAGACATTGACATGTCAGGTGCTGCAGGTGAGAGGAGACATTGAAATCTCTGGGGCTGCAGGTGAGAGGAGACATTGACATCTCTGGGGCTGCAGGTGAGAGGAGACATTGACATCTCTGGGGCTGCAGGTGAGAGGAGACATTGACATCTCTGGGGCTGCAGGTGAGAGGAGACATTGACATCTCAGGTGCTGCAGGTGAGAGGAGACATTGACATCTCCGGGGCTGCAGGTGAGAGGAGACATTGACATGTCAGGTGCTGAAGGTGAGAGGAGACATTGACATGTCAGGTGCTGCAGGTGAGAGGAGACATTGAAATCTCTGGGGCTGCAGGTGAGAGGAGACATAGACGTCTCCAGTGCTGCAGGTGAGAGGAGACATTGACATCTCCAGGGCTGCAGGTGAGAGGAGACATAGACATCTCAGGTGCTGCAGGTGAGGAGACATAGACATCTCAGGTGCTGCAGGTGAGAGGAGACAGACATCTCAGGTGCTTCAGGTGAGAGGAGACATAGACATCTCAGGTGCTGCAGGTGAGAGGAGACATAGACATCTCAGGTGCTGCAGGTGAGAGGAGACATAGACATCTCAGGTGCTGCAGGTGAGAGGAGACATAGACATCTCAGGTGCTGCAGGTGAGAGGAGACATTGGCATCTCAGGTGCTGCAGGTGAGAGGAGATATTGACATCCCCGGTGCTGCAGGTGAGAGGAGACATTGACATCTCCGGTGCTGCAGGTGAGAGGAGACATTGACATCTCAGGTGCTCCAGGTGAGAGGAGACATTGACATCTCAGGTGCTCCAGGTGAGAGGAGACATTGACATCTCAGGTGCTGCAGGTGAGAGGAGACATAGACATCTCAGGTGCTGCAGGTGAGAGGAGACATAGACATCTCAGGTGCTGCAGGTGAGAGGAGACATAGACATCTCTGGGGCTGCAGGTGAGAGGAGACATTGACTTCTCTGGGGCTGCAGGTGAGAGGAGACATTGACATCTCAGGTGCTGCAGGTGTGAGGAGACATGGACATCTCCGGTGATGGCTCCTTTTCACCAATCATTCCACACGGCACACAGTCCTAAGCAAAGAAATCATTTTTCGTCTTTCTGTTGCTGGAAATGAAAAGATTGGCTTGGAATCCTCAGATTTGGCCCCATGAAGGGGGATCTATAGGGTGTCACCTTAGTGTCAGGTCCGTAGGGGGCGCTCTTACTGTAAAAGGGTTAACATAACCTATGCTGGCAGCACATGGGAGAGTCAGACTGAAGAGGGATCTATAGAGTGTCACCTTAGTGTCAGGGCAGTAGGGGGCACTCTTATATAAGAACTATAGAAAGGGGCGGAGACAAGACCAGTCCCCCTGCACAAGGAGAGAGCAGAGCTGTGGGAGGGACCAGCAGGCTCCACCCACTACAGAAAACTACAGGAGGGGGTGGAGGCAAGATCAGTCCCCCTGCACAAGGAGAACAGAGCTGTGGGAGGGACCAGCCTGCTCACCCCACTACAGAAAACTATAAGAGGGGGCGGAGACAAGACCAGTCCCCCATGCACAAGGAGAGAACAGAGCCATGGAAGGGACCAGCTGGCTCCACCCACTACAGAAAACTATAGGAGGGGGCGGAGACAAGACCAGTCCACTTGTACCAGCAGAGAAAGCAAATCTGTAGGAGGGACCAGCGGGCTCCACCCAGTACAAAAAACTATAGGAGGGGGCAGACGAGACCAGTCCTCCTGCACAAAGAGAGAGAGCAAAGCTGTGGAAGGAACCAGCAGGCTCCACCCACTACAGAAAACTATAAGGGGGGAAGGGAGCTGTGAGAGGAGCTCAACACAAAACTAGAGGAGGGGGTGGAGACAAGACCAGTGCCCCTGCCCAAGGAGAGAGAGCAGCAGTGAGCGGTCTTTATTCCAGGAAGTCTCACCCTGGATGACAGCCCAGATCTGGAAGGAATACACAAAGAGTACGGAGATTCTGGAAGACATGACCGATGGGTTCAGACAAAATTAGTCGAAGGTTTAGATTCCGTCTGTCATTTTACTGCCAATCATGTCGTATCTCCCTCTCTATCTGACTTGGTGACCACGCTCATCAAGACAGGAAACAATGGAAAATCCAAGCTTCTACAGTTGTCACCAGAACAGGAATAAAGGAAATGATCCAATGAGGACACCCATCCTAGGTGACTTCCTCAGGGGCGCTACGTGCGTTGGGCTGTAGCTAACAATGGGCGGAGTTCTGCTGTTTGCTGACCTCCGGCGGTCCAAGTCTTCACTGTCCTGCCTGCCCCCGTGTATGTTCGCGCCTCTGCACACCGCCCCATCCAAGTCTACAGGGCGGGGGCAGTCATGCATGGGTGGATGTAAACAAACTGCCGCTGGATGTAAACAAACTGCAGATGTTGGATTGTGGAGGAAGAGGGGAGGGGGGTTGGGTTGGGGGGGGGGTGGGGGGGGGGGGGGGGGGGGGGGGGGGGGGGGGGTCTGGGGGGGGGGGGGGGGGGGGGGGGGGGGGGGGGGGGGGGGGGGGAAGAAGGACGAATGCACTTCTCCTCTATGTAATTAAGATACAAACAGTTCTAATGTAACAGAAGACAAACAAAGGATAAAGACATCTGCAGGTCGGAAAAAAACAACATGTGACACCGTGTTAGAAAAAAAAAACAATTCAGTGATCTGTTTATTATTAATAATTCTGATTTGTAGTTTTTGCAGCAAGAAATATTTGTACAAAAAAAAGAGAAAAACGGTAAATAAAGATGATCCTCCCCTCCCCCCCCCCCCCCAAGGAGTGCGTTAATGCCTTTGCTGGAATTTGGCCATGTGCAGTACGATGGATCCGGCGATGTCGCGGCCGTTCTTGTTCTGTCCGTAATAATCCACGAAGGAGCCGTCCGGGGCCAGCAGATACATGACAATGGTGTGGTCGACCTGGGGGGAGGGAAGACACAAGGTGATGGTGGTGGGGGGGGGGGGAAAATCACAATCAAAGCAATGTGTCCGCTGCATCCCTGATCAACAGCCAGAGCAGCGTCACACAAAAGCGCGTGACGCCACTCAATCATCGCACTTACTATGTAATCGCTGTCCTCATCCTTGGGCCCCGGGCTGAAATACACTCGGTACGCCTTCGCCACCTGCGCAACCTGCTGCGATGTGCCCGTCAGGCCGATCAGTTTGGGGGAAAATTCTGAAGAAGGGACAGGAAATATTACAAAATAAAACAAGTTCCTGACAGGTCACTGGCATTGGTCCTTCGCAAAGGATGATGGGAGAGGTGGGCGGAGCCATTGCTGACGCCGGCACTAGACAAGCTTGCCATGACGCGCATAACCTCAGTGTACACGGCACTTCAAGTGATCTTCGCTTGATCCACACAGGGCAAGGGAAGGGTTCACTTCTCCTTTCCTTGCTCCCCTGCTCATCCATTCACGGAAAAGTGAAAACGCTCCTTAACCACAGCCATGTCAAAGCACTGGGCCAATCAATGGAAAGCAGGACCCAGGCTGACCAATGCTTATGTGTCCCCAGTATCTGTCCCTGGTCCCAGTGGCCCGAAAACAAGGGTAGGCAGGTATATCTTACTGGAGATTGTGGAGGGGGGGAGGGGGTGTTCAGATGAACCTAAACTCAAAAATGTGAAGACATGCCGTTATATGGAATATAATGTACCTGAGGCTACATGAACCCGAGGACCTGCAATGTAAGGAAGCTCTCCCCTTCATCTGTAATGTGGTTCTGGATCTCCTTGCTTCCAAACCTGGTCATCTTAGACAGTAGACTACAGTGCTGCTCACTGTACTCCCCACTGGAGAGGAAGCTGTACCTAAGGACCTACAGTGCTAGGATCCCCCTGCTGCCAAGCCTAGTAGTCTCAGGAGACTTGGTGATGTTACTACTAAGCTGCTCACTGTTCTCATTGCTGGAAAGGAAGCTGTACCTGTGGACCTGCAGTGTAAGGATCTTCCTGCTTCTAACCCTAGCTATCTCCAGAGATTTTGAGTGAGATTTGGTGATGTCACTACTGTGCTTCTTACTGTTCTTGCTGGAGAGGAAGCTGTACCCGAGGACCTGCAGCGGTAGGATCTCCATGCGTCCAAGCCTAGCAGTCTCAGGATGTTTGGATAGGTCACTACTGTTCTGCTCAGTGTTCTCCTTGCTGGAGAGGAAGCTGTACCTGAGGACCTGCAGCGGTAGGATCTCCATGCGTCCAAGCCTAGCAGTCTCAGGATGTTTGGATAGGTCACTACTGTTCTGCTCACTGTTCTCCTGCTGGAGAGGAAGCTGTACCAGAGGACCTGCAGCGGTAGGATCTACATGCTTCCAAGCCTAGTAGTCTCAGGAGGTTTGGATAGGTCACTACTGTTCTGCTCACTGTTCTCCTTGCTGGAGAGGAGCTATACCTGAGGGACCTGCAGCAGTAGGATATCCATGCACCCAAGCCTAGTAGTCTCAGGAGGTTTGGAGATGTCACTATGGTGCTCCTCGCGGTTCTTACTGGAGAGGAAGCTGTACCTGAGGACCTGCAGCAATAGGATCTCCATGCTTCCAAGCCTAGTAGTCTCAGGAGGTTTGGAGATGTCACTATGGTGCTACTCACAGTTCTTGCTGGAGAGGAAGCTTTACCTGAGGAACTGCAGTGCATGGATCTCCCTGCTTCTTCTTCATTCATTCTGTGGACCACTCAGTGCTCAATGTTCTCCCTGCTTGAGGCTCTGACATGAAGAAGCAAAGCCCTGCCTCTACCAAGATGGCCAACCCCACACAGTACAGAACAAACCATAGTAAATCAGTAATGAGGAAAGATCCGCTGAAGGGATTCCACAGGCAACACTGGCAACTGCCCTCTGCCTCTACTCGCCTTTTTTCAGGTACAGCTTCCACAGTACAGGTCCTCTTTACATTCTTATTACAGATAAAGCAAGGTGTTTGTGTCACTTGGAGCTGCTGCACATCAAACACAACATGGTATATACACCATATACACCGCACACAGATAAGGACCCGTCCTGGTTGGGAGACACCACCCTAGCAGTATATATGGAGGGATAAAACAGACTCCATGCAGTTAGTGGTGGCACGATACGGCATCCTTATGATTGCCAAAAATGGCGTCTGTGTCACCCGCAGAGAACAGTGACTGGAAGAAGAATTTACCTTTAATATATTTGGCTACAGCCTCGGGGTTATCCCTCTCGGGATCCACAGTGATGAAGAGAGGAGTGATATTGGGAACCTCCTTCATGGAATCTGGAAGAGATCAATCCAACACTTAATAAACCCTGAGCCACCCGATCCACCAACCAAACCCAAACCGTACAGAACCGTACAGAAGCCGAAACCCATATCAGCTTCACGAAGAAGCGGACAAGGATTACAGCCCCAGTCAGGTGTTTCCTGAAAGTATCCTGCTATCCGTGTCCCCATTGGAGGCATTTCCCCACACTTCCTGTCCCAGTAACAGACCAGGAAGTGTGGAGAAAACATCCTCAACCAAACCGGCACAGCTGTAAAAGCCCAACGGGGGTCTACTCCCCACCCTGCCCAAGACAGAACCAAAAATGGGAACTTTCATTTTACCAGTAGCAAGTCCTGAAAATCCCCCCCCCCCGGAACACCACACGCCCCCCCCATCCACCACCTATTGTACCCCGCACCTGGGGAAGGTGAGAGACCTGATCACTTTACTGGAAGGTGATCGACCTATAACATACCTATGCCCCAACCTACCTCCTGTACCGGTCTACCACCTATACCATAAACCTACCTGTATCCCCCCCCAGGTACCCCACCTACCTTCTCCCATCCCACCCCCTGCACTGTGCCCATCTACCACCCCCATCCTATATCTACTTACATATCCCCCCCGGGTACCCCCACCTACCTTCTCCCATCCACCCCTGCACTGTGCCCATCTACCACCCCCATCCTATATCTACTTACATCCCCCCCTCCCGGGTACCCCACCTACCTTCTCCCATCCCACCCCTGCACTGTGCCCATCTACCACCCCCATCCTATATCTACTTACATCCCCCCCGGGTACCCCACCTACCTTCTCCCATCCCACCCCTGCACTGTGCCCATCTACCACCCCATCCTATATCTACTTACATCCCCCCCTCCCCCCGGGTACCCCACCTACCTTCTCCCATCCCACCCCTGCACTGTGCCCATCTACCACCCCCATCCTATATCTACTTACATCCCCTCCCGGGTACCCCACCTACCTTCTCCCATCCCACCCCTGCACTGTGCCCATCTACCACCCCATCCTATATCTACTTACTATCCCCTCCCACCCCGGGTACCCCACCTACCTTCTCCCATCCCACCCCTGCACTGTGCCCATCTACCACCCCCATCCTATATCTACTTACATCCCCCCCCCAGGTACCCCACCTACCTTCTCCCATCCCACCCCTGCACTGTGCCCATCTACCACCCCCATCCTATATCTACTTACATCCCCCCCCAGGTACCCCACCTACCTTCTCCCATCCCACCCCTGCACTGTGCCCATCTACCACCCCCATCCTATATCTACTTACATCCCCCCCCCCCAGGTACTACCACCTACCTTCTCCCATCCCACCCCTGCACTGTGCCCATCTACCACCCCATCCTATATCTACTTACATCCCTCCCAGGTACCCCACCTACTTCTTCCATCCCATCCCATCCCACCCTGCACCCATCTACCACCCCCATCCTATATCTACTTACATCCCCCCCAGGTACCCCACCTACCTTCTCCCATCCCACCCCTGCACATCTGCCCATCTACCCCCATCCTATATCTACTTACATCCCCTCCCAGGTACCCCCACCTACCTTCTCCCATACTACCCCTGCACTGTTCCCATCTACCACCCTCCATCCTATATCTACTTATATCCCCCCAGGTACACCACCTACCTTCTCCCATACTACCCCTGCACTGTTCCCATCCTATATCTACCACCCCCAGGTCTCCTATATCTACTTATACCCCCCCCCCCAGGTACCCCACCTACCTTCTCCCATCCCACCCCTGCACTGTTCCCATCTACCACCTCCATCCTATATCTACTTATATCCCCCCAGGTACACCACCTACCTTCTCCCATCCCACCCCTGCACCCATCTACCACCCCCATCCTATATCTACTTATATCCCCCCCAGGTACCCCACCTACCTTCTCCCATCCCACCCCTGCACTGTGCCCATCTACCACCCCCATCCTATATCCACTCCCATATTACCGATTTTATCCACCACCTCAATCATCTTCTCGATCTCCTCCGGGACAGACGTCGGGGCAGTGGGTGAAGCCGAAGTACAGGAGGACCCACTGACCCAGGAAATGCTGGTCGGTCTTTGGTAAACCGGCGTGATCGATTAACGAGAAAGGTCCGCCCAGCAATGGCTTCCCCAAAGATCTGGTCCTCTCCTTCTCGATCTCTGCAATGGGGAGGGAAGTGAATACAGGATGTTCACATTGCTGACACTTCCTGTATAGAACAGGCCAATGATTGCCCTGGAAATGGATACTAAACACAACCGCCTCCCGCCCCAGATGGGAGAGCGCCCCCTATCGTCTACAGATCAGGATTCTATTGAACAGAACTTACTCTCTTCTTTCTCTTTCTTCACATATTTCATCCCCGCCAACAAGACTCCGCCCAGTGGCGACCGTGATCGCCAGAGACTTCCAGGTGACCGGCTACTGGCACAGAGAAAGGGAAATAGAGAAAACGAGTCACCGAGAGAGGACCACGGCCAGGGGCGCCAGACTAGATGGGATCGTGGTGGGGGTGATGGTGGGGGTGACAGACAGGAGCACAAGTGAGGGGGGGGGGGGGTGACACAGGAACACAGAGAGGGACAGACAGAATCATGGCGGGGGAGAGGGGGGTTGGATGAGGGGGAGGGACAGAAATACAAGGGGGGTACCGACAAGAACAAGTCAGGGGGGGGGAACTGGAACACAAGGGGGGGGGGTCAGGAACACAAGGGGGGACAGACAGGAGGGGGGGGGGGTCAGGAACACAAGGGGGGACAGACAGGATCATGGAGGGGGGGGGGGTCAGGAACACAAGGGGGAACAGACAGGATCATGGAGGGGGGGGTCAGGAACACAAAGGGGGAACAGACAGGATCATGGAGGGGGGGTCAGGAACACAAGGGGGAACAGACAGGATCATGGAGGGGGGGGGGTCAGGAACACAAGGGGGGACAGACAGGATCATGGAGGGGGGGGGTCAGAAAGACAAGGGGGGACAGACAGCAACATGGAGGGGGGGTCAGGAACACAAGGGGGGACAGACAGCAACATGGAGGGGGGGGGGGGTCAGGGGAGAATAGAAACACAAGGGGAGACAGACAGGACCATGACTGCGGTGGGGGGGGGGGGGGGGGGGGGGGGGGGCAGGCAGGAACATGGTAGGGGGGGGGCAGACAGAAGGCCCGGGAGGACAGACATGGGTACATTTGTCGCATTCAGAGGAAAGAACATTCCAGATGGGTGTAAAGTGTGCAGAAAGACTTACCCCGAGTTTGGAGGAACCCCCCCGATCTCTAGGTGGGGGAGGGGGGAGAGTGCTCAGCAGGCGGGAGTTCCCGTTGGGTTTCGGCCATCCTCTCAGGTGATTGGTGGAGATCTGGAGAGAGAAGAGACAATTCTGCTGTCACCAATACATTCAATACAGACCCCCGGGGGGGGGGGGGCTGGAAGGGTATAGAGGAAGGTCACCCCGACACAGTTGGTACGTTCCCAGCGCCATTGAGGAGACAGTGCTGAGGACTGGCAGCTCAAAGTAGAACTCCATGTTTGAAGGGGGTGTGGGAGGGGTTGAGTGTGGTCTGTGATCCGTCCCCCGCCCTGTGGGTGGTCTGTGATCCGTCCCCCGCCCTGTGGGTGGTCTGTGATCCCTCCCCCGCCCTGTGGGTGGTCTGTGATCCCTCCCCCGCCCTGTGGGTGGTCTGTGATCCCTCCCCCGCCCTGTGGGTGGTCTGAGATCCCTCCCCCGCCCTGTGGGTGGTCTGAGATCCCTCCCCAGCTCTGTGGGTGGTCTGAGATCCCTCCCCCGCCCTGTGGGTGGTCTGTGATCCCTCCCCCGCCCTGTGGGGTCACCAAGACAATTTGGAAATAAATCCAAAAGGTGATGGTTGGCAGAAAAGGAAATGAAGAGACATCCCTCAGACAGTTGTCACCATAACAGGTGACACCACTTCCCGCTCGTCCCAGGCCGTCCCCCCACAGGGAGGTCCCAGGCCGTCCCCCCCCCACTTCCCGCTCGTCCCAGGCCGTCCCCCCACTTCCCGCTCGTCCCAGGCCGTCCCCCCACTTCCCGCTCGTCCCAGGCCGTCCCCCCACTTCCCGCTCGTCCCAGGGTCCCCCCACAGGGAGGTAGGTAGTATGGGGGAAGGCAGGTGGTCTCACCCTCCAGCAGGACGTCCCCCCCCACTTCCCGCTTCCTCCCAGGACGTCCCCCACTTCCCGCTTCTCCCAGGACGTCCCTTTTTTCCCTCATAAATCCGCACACAGGGAGGGAGGTAGGTAGTATGGGGGAAGGTAAGCGGTCTCACCCTCCAGCAGGGTACAGGGAGGGAGGTAGGTACTATGGGGGAGGTAGGTGGTCTTACCCTCCAGCAGGTTACAGGGAGGGAGGTAGGTAGTATGGGGGGAGGTAGGTGGTCTCACCCTCCAGCAGGGTACAGGAAGGTACTATGAGGAAAGGTAGGTGGTATCACCCTCCAGCAGGGTACAGGAAGGTACTATGGGGAAAGGTAGGTGGTCTCACCTTCCAGCAGCAGACAGCGCCTCCCCCCGGTCCCCGGATTCGGAGCAGAACTGACAGCCAGGCCGCCATCTTCCTTTTGCCCTCCAAATCCGCACATGGATGGCACTTCCGGTGTGCACTGCCCTCATCCCTCCGCCGGCAACAACTACCCCGGCACTATGGTTCCGCCCCTCCAACTCCACCACACAGAGCAGGCTGCAGCCTTCCCCAGAGCTCAGCTCCTCTCAGTACTGCCGGCTGCATCACCTACATAGGAATAGAAGAAGAAGGAAGTCATCATAGATATATATTAGACTCCTGCTGCCAATGGGTGTTAGGGCTGATCTTCACTATCAGCATGGAATACTTGTAACCCTTAAGCTGCCTACATTAGTAAATAGGAAGGTACAATATTGCCCCAAATATTGGCCCCGCCCTTTCCATGCACATGACCTTTAATGGCCCCCCAGTCTTAGTCCGTAGGGTTCAATATTGAGGTGGCCCCGCCCTTTCCACACACATGACCTTTAATGGCCCCCCAGTCTTAGTCCGTAGGGTTCAATATTGAGTTGGCCCCGCCCTTTCCCCCGCACATGACCTTTAATAGCCCCGCCCCCCCCAGTCTTAGTCCGTAGGGTTCAATATTGAGTTGGCCCCGCCCTTTCCACACACATGACCTTTAATGGCCCCCAGTCTTAGTCCATAGGGTTCAATATTGAGTTGGCCCCGCCCTTTCCACGCACATGACCTTTAATGGCCCCCCAGTCTTAGTCCATAGGGTTCAATATTGAGTTGGCCCCGCCCTTTCTACACACATGACCTTTAATGGCCCCCCAGTCTTAGTCCGTAGGGTTCAATATTGAGTTCTGCCCCGCCCTTTGCAGCTATAACAGCTTCAACTCTTCTGGGAAGGCCCCCCACAAGGTTTAGGAGGGTGTCTATGGGAAGGTTGGACCATTCTTCCAGAAGCACATTTGTCAGGTCAGGCACTGATGTCGGGGGAGGGGCCTGGCTCGCAGTCTCCGCTCTAATTCATCCCAAAGGTGTTCTATGGGGTTGAGGTCAGGACTCTGTGCAGGACAGTCAAGTTCCTCCACCCCAAACTGGCTCCCCCATGTCTTTATGGACCTTGCTTTGTGCACTGGTGCGCAGTCATGTTGGAACAGGAAGGGGCCATCCCCAAACTCCTCCCACAAAGTTGGGAACATGAAATTGTCCAAAATGTCACCTTAAGAGTTCCCTTCAATGGAACTAGGGGGCCAAGCCCACCCCCTGAGGAACACCCCCACACCATAATCCCCCCTCCACCAAACTTTACACTTGGCACAATGCAGTCAGGTAAGTACCGTTCTCCTGGCAACAGCCAAACCCAGACACGTCCATCAGATTGCCAGACAGAGAAGTGTGATTGGTCACTCCAGATCACCAGACCCATTTACTGGCTGTCTAAGCATGCTGCCAAAGAAAAAAATAATGGCATAGGGTTCAGTATGAATTTTAGGGGGGCACATCATACAAAAAGAAAAACAGTGTGCCCAACCCCCCTCCACCCATCAAAAATCCATAGCAGACCCTTAGCAGGCCAGGAAGGGGGGAAGGGGGGGGAGGAAGCATGCGCCACACCATACCACCTCATGGACCATACCAGTCCACATGCTCCCATGTTGGTGAGGACAAGGGCCTATTGCCCACAACCCTGGCCTGCTGGTTGTGGGGGTCCATGGGGTGTGTGGGGGGGGGTGCTTATTGGAATCTAGAAGCCCGCTTTAACAATAATGGGGTCCCCAGATACCAGCCCCCCCCCCATGTGACTGAGTACAGGGTACCCCTACCTTCTTACAAAAAAAAAGTAACTGACACTAAGACGTTCTTTTATAAAAAAATTACAAAAAGTCCCAGGATGTAAATCCGCCGCCGATCCCGTCATCCAGTGGTGTAGATCTAAGCCTATCACGTAGCCTGACACCCACCAACGTATATATAGTTAGATCCCCCTCTTCACTTCTGACCCCCCCATCGCTGAGAATCCTGACCCCCCCAAGCCCAGTCTGTGGATTGGAAAGAAACTACAGCCGCACTTCTCAAAACTGGACACTAGATGGCGGCACAATACCAACTAGTTCAAACCTGCAACAAAAACGCAGCTCCCCATTGAAATGAATGGAAAATCACCAACAATGCACTGCGCTGGTGCCTTTCTTGAGTCACATGACCATCTTTCGCAGGTGCAAGCGACTAGAAAACGCACCAGAAACACATAAAAAAAAAAGTGAATAGAAAACGTGGCGAAAATGCATAAAAAATGCACCAAAAAATGCAGCTCCCCATTATAATGAACAGAAAACGCATGAAAAACGCATCACGTTTGCTTTTCTTTGAGTCATGTGTCACATTTTTCGCAGGCAACCGGAAAAGCACCAAACATGTTTTTGCAAGGGAGCAGTGTGAACACAGACTAGTCAATGCAATAAAATTTATATTTGTAGATCATATTTATATATTATTTTTATACAGTCTTCAAGGGACTCACTATGCCTCCTAGAAAATAATTTGAGGTATTTATTCTCCAAAATGGGGTCATTTTATGGGTGCTTCCACTGTCCTGGTGTTCCAGGGCCCCCAAACATGTCATAGGTATTTGGAAAATTAGATGTGTAATTCAGGCCTCAAAATTTCCACTCGCCTGCTCTCATTTGGCGAGTGGAAATAACGTGGGGGTGAGTGTGGAGCCCAGCCCAGTGTTCCAGGACCTCTGGAGTCTCCCCCATCCCTCCCCGTGCACAGTCCAGGCGGAACAGGAGAGCAGAGTCCTACACACCCCCACGGAGGATACTGCAGGTATGCCCCCCAACACACAACCCCCCCCCCCCCCGAAAATCTATGGAGCGGAGGATGGGTGGGCCTCCTGTACTGACCGCCGGAGGGCTTGGAGGGTGGCCAGTCACACGCCGGAAACTGTCAATGCCACCTTTAACTGCGGCGGCACTCCCCACCAGAGGACCAGAGTCACTGGGGCCATGTGTGACAACGGACAGCATGGCGCCGATCCCCCACCTCCCACCAACCACAACTAGGCGGACCCAAGGCTCAGCTACCCTTCCTACCATCAGATCCTCTCCACTGACCCTGCTGGACAGATAAAATCTGTCCCACTGGCCCCCTCCTGTAATGCTGTGCCCATTATGAGGGGTTCCCGCCATCCCTGTACGGAGTTCCCGGATCTGTGTCTGCCCGCTGTGCCCATTATGAGGGGTTCCCGCCATCCCTGTGCGGAGTTCCCGGGTCTGTGCGCCCGCTGTGCCCATTATGAGGGGTTCCCACCATCCCTGTGCTGAGTTCCCGGGTCTGTACACCAACTTTGCCCATTATCCCGGAACATTGGCATCCCTAGGAGGACCCCCCTCCATGCAGTACGTTGGATTGCCATCTCTAGGAGGACCCTCCTCCATGCAGTACTTTGGATCGCCATCCCTAGGAGGACCCCCCTCCATGCAGTATGTTGGATCGCCATCCCTAGGAGGACCCCCCTCCATGCAGTATGTTGGATCGCCTTCCCTAGGAGGATCCCCCTCCATGCAGTACTTTGGATCGCCATCCCTAGGAGGACCCCCCTCCATGCAGTACGTTGGATCGCCATCCCTAGGAGGACCCCCCTCCATGCAGTACGTTGGATCGCCTTCCCTAGGAGGATCCCCCTCCATGCAGTACATTGGATTGCCTTCCCTAGGAGGATCCCCTCCATGCAGTACGTTGGATCGCCATCTCTAGGAGGATCCCCCTCCATGCAGTACGTTGGATCGCCATCCCTAGGAGGACCCCCTCCATGCAGTACGCTGGGACAGGTGTGATCTGTGCTGAACTTCTGTATCCCCTCTCGGACCAGTGATGTACTCATACATTGCTGGACTTGCGGTGGTTATACTGGAGTGGTGGCAGCAGCTGTAGGCCTCACCCTGATACCAATTTTTAGAGCTGGCGGTCGTCTCTCCTGTACAAGCAATTGGAGCAACTAACCTGCCACTTGATTTCCTGTACAAGCAGCTGGAAGGGATATGCACCCCCCCCCCCCCCTACATCCGCGTCTCTCTCTAAATCTCCCATCCCACCAGGAATCCCAAGCAAACCAGTTGACATACATCCCAATGAAGCCGGACAACCCAATGAAGCCGGACAACCCAACAAAGCTGGACAACCCATCACAGCCGGACAACCCAACGAAGCCGGACAACCCATCACAGCCGGACAACCCAACACAGCCGGACAACCCAACAAAGCCAGACAACCCAACAAAGCCAGACAACCCAACGAAGCCGGACAACCCAACACAGCCGGACAACCCAACAAAGCCGGACAACCCAACAAAGCCGGACAACCCAACACAGCCGGACAACCCAACACAGCCGGACAACCCAACACAGCCGGACAACCCAACAAAGCCGGACAACCCAACAAAGCCGGACAACCCAACGAAGCCGGACAACCCAACGAAGCCGGACAACCCAACGAAGCCGGACAACCCAACGAAGCCGGACAACCCAACGAAGCCGGACAACCCAACACAGCCGGACAACCCAACACAGCCGGACAACCCAACGAAGCCGGACAACCCAACAAAGCCGGACAACCCAACGAAGCCGGACAACCCAACGAAGCCGGACAACCCAACACAGCCGGACAACCCAACGAAGCCGGATAACCCAACGAAGCCGGACAACCCAACGAAGCCGGACAACCCAACAAAGCCGGACAACCCAACACAGCCGGACAACCCAACGAAGCCGGAATCGTGATTGATCGTAGCGGGGGAGGGGGGGGCTGGATCGTCTCTCCTTTATTGTAAGCCGATAGTGACGACCTGACACCCTGACACCACTTCCGGTATACTTGGAAATTTTCGGCGCCATTTTTAAAAATCATTCAAAAACAGTGATTTGGCGTCTTATAGACTCCCAGATCCCTCCATACAGCGCCTGTCACGTGCCTATTGCTGTCACAGTGAATGCCGACATTTCTTGTGAGAGCAATAAAAGTGAAAATAATAATAAAAAAATGAAAGTGCCCCCACCCCCCCTCGTGCTGGAGTGCAAAGGTGAACACACGTGTCGGTCCCGCACGCAAACAGCGATCGACCCACACATGTGAGGTATCGCTGCGATCATCAGATCCTGGGCAGTAATCCTAGCACAAGAACTCCTCTGTAAATCTAAAGTGGTCCCCTGTCGAGGGTTTCATTTATGCCGTTTGTCGCGGTTGCACAGGAATGCGCAGTTTTAAAGCATGACATGTTTGGTATCTATTTATTCGACGTAACATCGTTTTTTCTATTTTACAAAACAATTGGGTTATGTGTTGTGTTCTTTTTTTGCAATTAAGTTAAAAAAAGTGTATTTTTTCACAAAAATTGCATCTGAAAAACCGCTGCTGCAAATACTGCGTGACGTAGAAAAAACTCAGCAATTTATTCTCTGGGGCCTCTGCTTTAAAAAAAATGTAGAATGTCTGGGGGTTCTGAGACATTTTCTATCAAAAAAAAGAAAAGAACAGATTTTAAAATATAAAGGAGAACATGTCAGAAATGGCCCGGGGGGAGGGGGGGGGGGGTTATGGGGAGGAAGAAGCTGTGTTGCACAATGCCGAGCACAGAGCCTGCCAGTCCTTGTAGCCATGATTGTGCAATCTGCTAAAAAGTTCATAACTTCCATTATATTTCTATTCACTGGGGTGGGGGGTGGTGTGGGGGGATGGGTTCCTGGCTTCCTCTGCTACCCATCCATCCATCCATCCAACCATGAGATGAAGAATGTGGATGGGATGGTGGGAGAGAGTTCTGGGCTGGAGGTCCTCACAAACCAAGAATTGTCTCTGAGGAATATTCACTGCACACAAACAAATGAGAACAGAGACCCCAGCGAGGATTCTGGGAGTTGCGCCAACATCAGACACATCTGCGTCCCAGTCATGTGACCTCCTCAGACCGACGCTGTACTGGGTGAGGACATAGAACAGATGGTGGGATCTGAGGATCGGGGTGGCTGTGTGTGGGATCCTCTCCGACTTGCAAGGTAAGTGGATTCCCTGCCTGGGGGACGTGTCGCTATAAAGGCCGCTACTGTGGGCAGGCTGTGCAATGACTCTTCCAACCAATCACAGCGTATGGGAGATAATGTTACATTGATACATTTACAATGAAAAAGATGCAAAAAAAAAAAACAAGAAAACGATACATAGCTTCAACGAAAAGATGCAAAAACAACAAAACAAATACAAAACATCAACAAAAAGATTTTTAAAAAAATCTTTTTCTTGTTTTTTTGTATCTTTTGTATTGTGAATGTTTTTTTTTCTATTTTTTTGTATCTTTTTTGTTGTTAATGTATCTTTTTGTTGATTTTTTGTATCTTTTTCTCTCTTTTTTTGGTATCTTTTTGTTGATGTTATGTATCTTTTCTTGTTTTTTTGTATCTTTTTTGTTGTGTTTATATCTTTTTGTTGATGTTACATTACCTTTTCTTGTTTATTTGGTATCTTTTTTGTTTTTAATGTATCTTTTTGTTCATGTTATGTATCTTTTTTTTCTTTGGTATCTTTTTTGTTGTTTTTGCATTTTTTTGTTGATGTTATGCATCTCGTTCTTGTTTTTTTTTTTGTACCTTTTTCGTTGGTGTTTTGTTGAATTCTATGTAATGATCTTGAGGCTGAGCTGCTTTCCTATCCAACAATAAGTTCTGTACATGTTGTAAACCTGCAAAGCCACAAAGGATTTCACTTCTAGAAAAAACTAAAAATCCTCCAGAAACTGGAACAGATAAGGTCCTGGTGAAGTCACCCAGAGGTTACTCTCTGCACTTCTGTCATCAAAAAAACAATGGCTTCTATGTAACATATATATTGTGCATTCACATCAGTCCCTAACCCTACATTCACAATACAAAAGATACAAAAAAAAAAACAAGAAAAAGATACATAACTTCAACAAAAAGATGCAAAAATAAAAAAAGATACAAAACATCAACAAAAAGATACATTAACAACAAAAAAGATTAAAAAAAAACAAGAAAAAGGTACACAACATAAAAAAATATACATTAACAACAAAAAAAAATACAAAAAAAAGAGGAAAAGATACATAACATCAACAAAAAGATACATTTACAATGAAAAAGATTAAAAAAAAAAAAACAAGAAAAAGGTACACAACATAAAAAAATATACATTAACAACAACAAAAAATACAAAACAAGAGGAAAAGATACATAACATCAACAAAAAGATACATTTACAATGAAAAAGATGCAAAAAAAAAAAAAGAAAAAGATACATGGCTTCAACGAAAAGAAGATGCAAAAACAACAAAACAAATAAAATATATCAACAAAAAGATTTTAAAAAAATCAAGAAAATTATACAAAACATCAACATAAAGATACATTAACAACAAAAAAGATTTAAAAAAAACCAAGAAAAAGATGCATAATATCAACAAAAAGATGCATAAACAACAGAAAAGATACAAGAAACAAGTTTAAGATACAAAACATTGCTAAAAAGATGCAAAAACAACAAAAAAGATACTAAAAATAACCCCAAGAAAAAGATACATACATCACCAAAACAGAACCATTAACAGCAAAAAAGAAACAAAACATAAAAAGGGTACAAAATATAAAAAAAGATACAAAAACAATAAAAAAGTTGCCAAAAAAAAAACAAGAAAAAGATACATAACGTGAACAAAAAGATACAAAATCAACAAAAAGGTACAAAAACAACAACTTGGAGTGTTTCCAGACTGATCAGCGTTGACGTTGTCTTTCAGATGAGTGGAGGGACAGTGAGGGAGACCAGCCTCGTCCAGCAGACCTGTGCTCTGCTGCGGAAGAATCTTCTGGTACAATGGAGGCGGCTGGGACATGTAGTGCTGGTAGGTACACAGTGAGTGGGGGTAGTTGAGGACGGGGTCTCCTCAAAACTGAACTCCAGGCAGATATAACAGAAACAAACGACGGCGGCACTGTGTTCATCGATACATTATTATTATTATGGGAGAGGGAAGGGCAGGACTAGGAGGCAATCAGGTGTGCTGCAGTGCTCATGTACTAACAGATCACGCTGCTAGGAGGAGAGAGCAGAGTGATACGGACATTAGATATGAATTGGCTGCATTCACTTGTGTCTTTTATATCTGCTTGGAATTCAGCTTTAATGTTTCAGAGAGCCGGTCTCATGTCCTCCCTTATCTAACCCGTCATTTCCTGTGGTGGAAGAGAGGTCAGGGGATCTCCAGCACTATGAACTGTTTGTGATGTCACAGTGCTCTCCTAACTGGTGATGGTGGTGACCCCCATGTTTGGTTTTGCAGGAGTGGCTCCAGCATTTCGTGCTGGTCCTCCTGCTCTTCTTAATTCTGCTTGTCGATGGCGGTCCAAACCCGAAGGTATACTTGCCGGCCGAGGTCCTGGGGCGTCTGGATGAATTCAGCAACCGCAGTTTTCCAGTTGGCTACATCCCTACAACCCCGGCCATCAGGGACATAATGCAGAGGGTCAACAGAAGCACCATCATCCCAGGTAAGATCAGCTGGAAGCCAAGCAGGGTGCTCCTCTCCACTGAATGAGGAGTGTATGGGGGTCACCAGAGGGCCTGACTGCTTTGTTAAATGTTTTAGCTCCCATTCAAGTGTTATGTGTATGAAGTTGGGGTACCCCGAGAATTTACCCCCCCCCCACTAATAAATGAATGGAAATAACAAAAGTCCTGACTTCTCCTTCCAGGAATATCGGTTCAGGAATTTCAAAATGCTTCTGACCTTCTGGATGCAGTTAATGAGAACATGCCCGCTGGTGTGGAATTTGTGAATGAGTTTACATATTATATCAGATATGATCTACAAACCATCTCCAGCCCCAATGACTACCTGGCTTATAGAAGTAAGAGGGCATGTGATGATCAGTGGGAAGAATGTCCCTTACATTGGGGGTCAGTGGGAAGAATGTCCCTTACATTGGTGGTCAGTGGGAAGAATGTCCCTTACATTGGTGATCAGTGGGAAGAATGTCCCTTACATTGGGGGTCAGTGGGAAGAATGTCCCTTACATTGGGGGTCAGTGGGAAGAATGTCCCTTACATTGGGGGTCAGTGGGAAGAATGCCCCTTACATTGGGGGTCAGTGGGAAGAATGCTCCTTACATTGGTGATCAGTGGGAAGAATGTCCCTTACATTGGTGGTCAGTGGGAAGAATGCTCCTTACATTGGTGGTCAGTGGGAAGAATGTCCCTTACATTGGGGGTCAGTGGGAAGAATGTCCCTTACATTGGTGATCAGTGGGAAGAATGTCCCTTACATTGGTGGTCAGTGGGAAGAATGTCCCTTACATTGGTGATCAGTGGGAAGAGTGTCCCTTACATTGGTGATCAGTGGGAAGAATGTCCCTTACATTGGTGGTCAGTGGGAAGAATGTCCCTTACATTGGGGGTCAGTGGGAAGAATGCCCCTTACATTGGGGGTCAGTGGGAAGAATGTCCCTTACATTGGTGATCAGTGGGAAGAATGCTCCTTACATTGGTGATCAGTGGGAAGAATGTCCCTTACATTGGTGGTCAGTGGGAAGAATGCTCCTTACATTGGTGGTCAGTGGGAAGAATGTCCCTTACATTGGGGGTCAGTGGGAAGAATGTCCCTTACATTGGTGATCACTGGGAAGAATGTCCCTTACATTGGGGGTCAGTGGGAAGAATGTCCCTTACATTGGTGATCAGTGGGAAGAATGTCCCTTACATTGGTGGTCAGTGGGAAGAATGTCCCTTACATTGGGGGTCAGTGGGAAGAATGTCCCTTACATTGGTGGTCAGTGGGAAGAATGTCTCAGCATTGGACCCTTCCAAGAGTGGCAGATGCCCGTGTCCCTCTACACACGGAGAGTCTGTGTTTTTGCCGTGTCCTGTAGTGATGTGAGGGGTCGGAGGAAGGAGTCGGGGTGCAGCAAGGGACACGGGTATCCGACACTCTTAGGTTAGAAGATGCATTCATTGTTATGTCACCTTGTTTGGGTTGTCAGGCTGCACCTTTTTTTTTTTTGGTGGTACAAAAATCCCAGCAAGTGTGTCACATGGGAACAAGCTTGGAATCTCCGATTCATTGTGTTTTACTGCCTTTGCTCCCCCTGTGTGTTCCTCCAGGTGATTGTGACAGTTCAGAACGTTACTGCGACCCCCCGAAGTACTGGAAAGAGGGGTTCATCTCTCTACAGGCCAGCATTGACTCTGCCATAGTAGAGGTGAGCAGACAGCCATTACTGCCCCGTCACCACTCATTATATAGACCGCTGTCTGACCAATGGGGCTAGAAAGATCCTGGGGGGGGGGCATTGAATAAAAAAGAAACTCCCTCCAGCCGATGGTTGAGAGAAGGGGGTTTTGTTACCCATTGTATCCCTCGGGATCTTTCCGGTTCTGTTTGTTCAGAATACTCTTTCATCAGCATTTCCAAGCCCTGACGAAGGGGGAGGATTGGATGTCCCTGAAACGCGTTGACTTCCTACTGAACAAGACTTGTAATGAAGACCTTTCCTGAACTTTATATAACTGGCTTGGCACTTTCCTCTTCGTAAGGTTTCTCTCGCTTTCAATGCTGACTCTAGTTTGCGGAGCAATTTGTCCTGTAAAATTGATTGTGCATTAATTCAGTGCAAATGGGAGGGGGGGGGGGGGACAAATATCATTAGGCTATTTTCTCTCCAGGTCAAACGTTCTTCATTCATACAGAATACAGAGAATCAAAAAATATATTGCACTATGGCCACTAGATGGAGCTGACGATGATAGGAAATGAGTATTTTTTTTCTTTTTATATTCGCCTCCATCTAGTGGCCATAATGCTGCATTTTTCTGATTTACTTTATACCAGGGGTAATGAATTAAAATGTAAGGGGGTCTGGTCAGAATTTTTTTTCCAGCCTAGGTCTCTGTGTCTGAGTCTCTCTTTAATAAAACATAAAAGTAGGCCAAATCACATCCACATTTCAAGTAAAAGAAAAAAAACCTTACATAGGTGTCACCATCAGAGTACCCCTTAGTTCAGATCTCCCCATACAGTACATCAGAGTGCCCCTTTACACCAGGTGTCACCATCAGAGTACCCCTTAGTTCATATCTCCCCATCACAGTACATCAGAGTGCCCCTTTACACCAGTGTCACCATCAGAGTACCCCCATACATAAGGTATTTTATAATGTATCCCCATCAGAGACCTCCTTATATCAGGTATCCCCACCAGAGTACCCCCTTACATAAGGTGTCCCCATCAGGGTGCCCCCTTATATAATGTGTCCACATCTGAGTCCCCCCATACATTAGGTGTCCTCATCAGGGAGCCTCCTTACATAATTTGTACCCATCAGAGTCCCCCCATACATCAGGTGTCCCCATCAGAGTCCCCCCATACATAAGGTGTCCCCATCAGAGTCCCCCCTTACATCAGGTGTCCCATCAGGAGCCCCCGATATTCAGGTGTCCCCATCAGGGTTCCCCCTTACATAATGTGTCCCCATCAGTCCCCGATACTTCAGGTGTCCCCATCAGGGTTCCACCTTACATAATGTGTCCAACATCAGCATCCCCATCAAGGTGCCCCCTTACATAATGTGTCAGCATCAGCATTTCCCCATTAGGTGCCCCCTTAGATAATGTGTCAGCATCAGCATCCCCATCAAGGTGCCCCCTTACATAATGTGTCAGCATCAGCATCCCCATCAAGGTGCCCCCTTACATAATGTGTTGCATCCCCATCAGGTGCCCCCTTACATAATGTGTCAACATCAGCATCCCCATCAAGGTGCCCCCTTACATAATGTGTCAACATCAGCATCCCCATCAAGGTGCCCCCTAACATAATGTGTCAACATCAGCATCCCCATCAAGGTGCCCCCTAACATAATGTGTCAACATCAGCATCCCCATCAAGGTGCCCCCTTACATAATGTGTCAGGGTCCATCTGATTTCCCCATTAGGTGCCCCCATGCATCAGATGTTCCCATCAGGGTGCCACCTTACATAGTGTATCTATGATACATCAGGTGTCCCTGTTAGAATGCCACCTTACATAATGTGTCTCCATCAGAGTTCCCCCATTAGGTGCCCCCATCAGCATGCCACCTTACATAATGTGTCCCCATCAGAGTTCCCCCATTAGGTACCCCCATCAGCATGCCACCTTACATAATGTGTCCCCATCAGAGTTCCCCCATTAGGTGCCCCCATCAGCATGCCACCTTACATAATGTGTCCCCATCAGAGTTCCCCCATTAGATGCCCCCATCAGCATGCCACCTTACATAATGTGTCCCCATCAGAGTCCCCCCCATTAGGTGCCCCCATCAGCATGCCACCTTACATAATGTGTCCCTTACATATGTGTCCCCATCAGAGTTCCCCATTAGGTGCCCCCATCAGCATGCCACCTTACATAATGTGTCTCCATCAGAGTTCCCCCATTAGGTGCCCCCATCAGCATGCCACCTTACATAATGTGTCCCCATCAGAGTTCCCCCATTAGGTGCCCCCATCAGCATGCCACCTTACATAATGTGTCCCCATCAGAGTTCCCCCATTAGATGCCCCCATCAGCATGCCACCTTACATAATGTGTCCCCATCAGAGTTCCCCCATTAGGTGTCCCCATCAGCATGCCACCTTACATAATGTGTCCCCATCAGAGTTCCCCCATTAGGTGCCCCCATCAGCATGCCACTTTACATAATGTGTCCCCATCAGAGTGCCCCCATACATCAGGTGTCCCCTTCAAGGTGCCCCCTTACATCAGGTGTCCCCTTCAAGGTGCCCCCTTACATAACGTGTCCCCAGCAGAGTGCCCCCATTCATCAGAGTGTCCCATACATCAGATTCCCCCATCAGAGTCTCACTATAGTTTAGTAGCGTCCATTTGGGCCGAGCAGGCAGAAGGTGGGAGCTATGTGGAGAAGCGTGCTGCAGGGGGTGAGGCCCCCCTGTTTGCCCCCGTTCATACAGAATGAATGTACACGCAGTTTTTGGGGACAAATAGATCTGCATTTTATTTTCATTGTACATACACCCTTATTTATTCTGAAGACTATTGTCGCTGGAACAGAGAGACAGAATCCAAAAATGTCACTTTAAAGAATATGAGGGGAAGTCTTCCATCGGGGACACAGCTTCTGGGGCAGATGGCTAAGAGATGGGATTTCTCAGGGGGTTGGTGAGGGTCTTTTTTCCACTTTCCAAGAAATACCAGACACAAAGATGATAGTTTATGAATCTCTTACTCACTTTTCTAACCCTATATATATGTATACCCCAAAAAACATAAAAATTGGCCGACATTAAAAAATTGTAAATAGTTGAATGAATGAGCAATATTTTGCAGAGGAACACCAAGCAGTCGCTATGGGATGATATGGCGGCCACAGAGGTGGTGAAGATGAGAGCATTGAAGTACACAGAAAGGACGGTCCTGGACATGGGCATCTACATCTATGCCATGAGCATGTGCTTCGTCTCGCTGTCCTATGTCATGACGCTGCAGATCACCCGGGAGAGGAGGAAAACCAGAGAGCTGATGAGGATGATGGGACTGAAGGATCTGGCGTTTTGGTGAGTGGCATCAGTCAACCCATAATGAATAGCTTCTTGGTAGAAATACTTTACAGGAGATATAGAGCTAAGGGTGGGTGTCAACAGGGGCGGACTGACAACTCATGAGGCCCCCGGGCAATAGGGGATCATGGGGCCCCTACGTCCTTGCCCAAACTCAAAAAAGCCTATGAAAAAGGTACCAGGGGCATCTCATGGCGCCCCCTAATGACCAAGGGCCCTCGGGCAGTGCCCGGGTTTCCAAATGGTCAGTCCGCCCCTGGGTGTCAATAGTGTAGGAGGTGGGGCAGAGGCTTACTATAGCAGAGCATGGTTGGGGTGAGGGGTCACAGGTATGCCCGACGTTCTGTTGACAGGTAAAATGGTCCTCATTGGTTGGAGTTTTCCAGTCTTAGATGACCTCCAGCATGGTGTCATCATCTTGTATTGCAGGTTGTCTTGGGGGTTGCTTTACACCATCAGTGCCATCATCATCGCCACCCTCATGGCTTTGGTCGCCACCACTTATGTGTATGTTGAAAGTTCCTTTGGCGTTATTTTTCTGCTCTTCTGCCTCTACGGTGTAGCAACGGTAGGTCTGGATGATGTGTTTCTACAAATGAGCACCACGTTAATCCTACACCCACCCAAATCACTAAAATTCTCATAGAAGGTTTAACATGTTAACATATTTTCATTTTCAAGTTCCTTCCATGAAGGTTCCTTGTTTAGGTACTTACTGTTATGGGGTGACAACACTTTATCTCAGTCTTCCAATTGTGTTTCTGCATTGTCACAAGGGTTTGCAATGGAGACTACAAGCAGCCATTTCACACTACACAAACATGGTTCACTGTTGTCACCAGAGATGTTGTTAGAAATCATAGATCCAACCTGACAGGCCTCCTCCATAACGATGCTTCAGTTATGAATGAACACAGTGAGTGATCAGTACATATCACTCATTGTTTTCATTCAGGGAAGGAAGGAGCTGGCAAATGTGACATATTTACTGGACCCTTCCCCCACTCTCCACCCTGAAGGATGCTGGAAGGAGAAGAGGGAAGCCAGTAGCACTGCGAGGGTGGGGGCACACAGGGGGGGAACATATGGTGCATGGCAAGGGTGATAGGTGCAGCTGTGAGGGGGGATGGGGCACTTACTGGTACCAATCCCCTGTATTGCTCTCTCTGTAGCTGAAAGCTAGCGGGAGGGAGAAGAGAAGAAGGCGGCTTTCAGCTGCTGCAGAGAAAGCCACACAGGGGATCAGTTCCAGTAATTGTCCCCCTCTGCCTATCCAATCACCCTCCCTGCCAACGCCTGATTCACCTTGCCGCCTGGGCCCCCCTGCTGACCGGGGCCCCATGCAGTAGGACTGGTGGTCCCCCTTTGTGTACATCCCTGGTTGTCACCATTGAGAAACCTGCCCTGAGAAATACTAATACCACCCATGGAGTGCATGTAGACAGGAAGTGGCTACAGGACACCAACAGCACTGAGATGAACCACAGGATGGGGATATTATAGAAAAGGAGGTTTATGGAGACAGTTTCCTTCTTTTATGAACTAAATCCAGCTTTGCTGATTAGTCCTTTACCTCCCCACCCCCAGGTCTGCTTTAACTGCATGCTGAGCGCCCTCCTCAGGAAGCACCGCCTGACAGCGATTCTGAGCTTTTTCATCACTCTCCTCCTATCTGCACTTGGCCTCCTACCACTGATGAACGCCATGCCCAGATCTCTGGAAGTTTTTCTGAGCATCTTCCACCCCTTCTCCTTCACCGTTGGGATCTCTGAGGTAATGGTTTATTTTTGGAGCTTACACAGAGCTGAGGAACATCTTTCCACCCCCTACAGCACTGTGTCAATCACTGGGCACCAGCACAGTCATGTGACAGTGTCAGGGCTCCAGGGTATGACCAGAGGTATGTGAACTGACGCAGGGAAACGCAGGCTTCAGATATGTTATAAACAATATAATTTATTAAAGACTAACAATACAAACATAAACGCAGTGCAATACTAAAACATAACACAGTGCAAACGAACCAAACCAAACCACCCACAGATAACAGTACATACAATGCAAGCGTCGTCAGGCAGGTCGGGTCAATAACAATTGGGCAGGTAGGTACAGGGGGTCAGGCAGAGAATGGTCGGGGTCACAAGCCAGGGATAAAACAGGAGAAGTCAGCAGAGGTCTGGATCAGGCAGGGTCAGCAACAAATCAGACAGAGACAGGGACAGGGACAGGAACAGGGATGCAGGGACAAGATACAGGGCCCAGGAAAAACACACACCAAGGCAGAGACTGCAGGTCTGGCCATCCCTTAAATACACCTGCATAATCAACTTCAGGTGTTTGGCTGGCTGCAGGGTTGAGTCTCTGATTGCTGGGAGCACCCGCTGGCCAGCCCTGGTACTGCAGCCCAGAAGGCAGGTGAGTCCCACCATTACTGGCAAGTCCATTCCTAACAGACAGGTAGGGGAGTAAGTGACTGATATGCTCATCTATACCGGGACATACTGATCTTCTTTTGGAGACTGAATGGAACAGTGGAGGAGTGAAGGAACAGTTCTTCAGGGGCGGGAATTAATGTGAACCTGTTGCCCTGCACTGCATCAACAAAGCACCCATTTGGCTTAAACTTTGCAAAAGGATTGGAAAGGACTATTGTAATGTTGACAGGAGATGTGCCCATTAATTATGGCTTCTCTGTGTTTTTAGAGCATGCACATGGAAAACGACTTTCAAGGGGCCTTCTTCTCGGACATCGGTGGTGACTCCTCCCACATACTCTCCAGCGCCATCTACTGACTCTAGACTCGGTGCTTTATATCATCCTCACTCTCTACTTTGACAAGATTATTCCAGGTGATGACAAATGACTGCTACTTACTGTATTCTCATCATTTAATGGTGGATCAATGTGTTCCAATAAGTAGGTGGAGCACACAGGTGGGAAGAATACCTGAGAGGCAGCTTGTGCACTGAGCTGTTGTTCACTGTGATGTCCCTCTTATGATGTCATTATATGCACACTGGTCTAAACGCCTCTGCCAATGGACTCTCTAGCTGTCTTCATTTTATCCCCATGGCCTTGATTAGACTCAGGGCCATATTTAACATGGGGAAAAAGGAGCAGCCACCCAGGGCCCAGTCAATGTTGACTTGTCTTCTTTTGATGCCAGATAAACACGGAGTGAGACATGAGCCGCTCTTCTTCCTCAGATCTTCATTCTGGTCAAAGAAGAAGAAAATGACCCCCATACCGCTAGGAGAAGGAGGGCGCATGGAGGAGGACTTGGGGGACTATGTAGAAAAAGTGCCTACTGAGTTACTGGGACAAGAAGCGATCAGGTACTGGAATCTCCACTTCTGTCCACTGTAGAAGGCACACACAGTAGGCACCTTTAAGGAGAGTTGCAAAGGGATCTGGGAGTACTAGCTAAAAGTAAACTAAGCAGCATTCAAGGCCAGGGGATGGCGTAAAAGCAAATGTAGGGGACCTGTCAAAGAATGGTTTCTCTGCTCATGTAATTTAATGAGAAAGCCAAATCAGCTTGAAGCAGGGTGCAGCAACTTAGAAGCAGGTCAGAAGGAGGTCATTTGCAGGTCCAATGAAACATGAATGATATCCCAAACTGATTTCAAATACAAGCCAGCAGCATTTGCCCAGTGAGATAAGTCTAAAGTCTATTGACTTAGGCCCCAATTGTTATTTTTAACTAAGATCCAGGATGGGGACCTCGTTTCTGATGAATTCATTTTTTTTTTAACTTCGCATGGAAGCAGCCACTATTGCCCATTAAATATACAGCCCAGGCTGGGCTTTGCACTTTACGGTGGTGTATGACGATTGTGCCTTGTGGATCCTTGTCCCATGGCAAGCATAGGGGACAGGTTCTTCTGAAAACATTAGGCTCTCTGCAATTTGTGATAACGTGAAACACCAGCAATGCTTCTGATAACCAGAGACCTGTGATTTAGCCTTTGTGAGCCGCCTGTGTTACCCCAGAAATGTATTGTGACCATGTGGCCTTGCTAACTTGTATTCTGTTGATGTAGAGCAGCCATTGTCAACCTTTTACTCCAGAGAAACCCTTCAAATTATGTTTCGGTCTCAGAGAACCCCTGCTATAGTTAATTATTTGGTGGTCATTGGAAAGAGGGCCCCCAACCCCCTACACTGGTCGTCAGAATGCCAACAAACAGCTAAAAATATAATTGATGCCATGGTTCTGGCTCTGCTGAGTGGTGTTGGCTCTGGAACTATGCAGGCTCCATCAGTTGGGAGGTCAATGCTCCAGGAACCCTTAAAAATCTCTGGAGGAAACCTGGTTTAGATTAGTTGATGAAAATGATGAATTTTAGTATCAGGTGTTAGCTCTGTTAAGTGGTGTTGGCCCTGCAACTATGCAGGCACCATCAGATGGAAGATCAACCCGTCACAGCTCCAGGACCTTCTAGAAACCTCTGGAGGAACCCTAGTTTAGGTTAGTTGATGAAAACTATGAATTTAAGTATCAGCTGTTAGCTCTGTTGAGTGGTGTTGGCCCAGGAACTATGCAGGCACCATCAAATTGAAGATCAACCTGCCATAGGTCCAGGAACCCCTAGAAACCTCTGGAGGAACCCTGGTTTAGGTTAGTTGATGAAAACTATGAATTTAAGTATCAGCTGTTAGCTCTGTTGAGTGGTGTTGGCCCAGGAACTATGCAGGTAGCATCAGATTGAAGATCAACCTGCCATAGGTCCAGGAACCCCTAGAAACCTCTGGAGGAACCCTGGTTTAGATTAGTTGATGAAAATTATGAATTTTAGTATCAGGTCACAGAACATATCCTAGGTCTGCTTTTATGTAATTTCCTCTAAATCATCATCTTGTCCCTTCATACAGGATAAGTAATGTCAAGAAGATGTACAGTGGCAAGGACAAGAAGACAGAGGCGCTACGAGGTGATCCAAATCCTGAAATATTCCCTTCTCTTGTCTGTAATACAAATTACTTTCTATAGAATGGATACAAATGAGGATCTTTATTTCACAATCCTGGAAGGAAAATATTTCTCATCCTTTTGACATCTGCTGTGTGGCTGAATGCTTCTTAATATACACTTCCCACCCAGGGGCGGACTGACAACTCATGGGGCCCCCGGGCAATAGGGGATCATGGGGCCCCTGTGTCCTTGCCCAAACTCAGAAAAGCCTATGAAAAAGGTACCAGGGGCATCTCATGGGGCCCCCTACTGACCCCGGGACCTCGGGCAGTGCCTGAGTTTCCAAATGTTCAGTCCACCCCTGTTCCCACCATTGAAGGCTGAGGAAAGGCTGTCTGTCCTTCTGAGGAATTACTGTTTAGAAAACATCTGTCATAGAAACCTTCACAGCTAACACTTAACATAAGCTCAACCATTATGAACATACACTATATTGGCAAAACTATTGGGCCGCCGGCCTTACCACGCACATGACCTTTAATGGCCTCCCAGTCTTAGTCTGTAGGGTTCAATATTGAGTTGGCCCCGCCCTTTCCACACACATGACCTTTAATTCCCCCCAGTCTTAGTCCGTAGGGTTCAATATTGAGTTGGCCCCGCCCTTTGCAGCTATAACAGCTTCAACTCTTCTGGGAGGCCGTCCACAAGGTTTAGGAGGGTGTCTATGGGAAGGTTGGACCATTCTTCCAGAAGCACATTTGTCAGGTCAGGCACTGATGTCGGGGGAGGAGGCCTGGCTCGCAGTCTCCGCTCTAATTCATCCCAAAGGTGTTCTATGGGGTTGAGGTCAGGACTCTGTGCAGGACAGTCAAGTTCCTCCACCCCAAACTGGCTCCTCCATGTCTTTATGGACCTTGCTTTGTGCAAGAGTAAGATCACCCATAAAGTTGGGAAAGGATAAATATACTTTCAGATAAAGGACAGTCATCCTTTTCCTGTAAAGAGACACAATGTTGCATTCCACATTTTTTATGTCTATGATGGAAGCGTAATCCTATATCCTGTAGGCACACATTGATCACTGAAGTGTTTTTCTCCCCAGGACTGAATCTGGACGTCTATGAGGGACAGATCACAGCGTTACTCGGTCACAGCGGAGCTGGAAAAACCACCTTACTGAATATACTCAGCGGGATGTGTGGAACCACTAGCGGTGAGCTTTTCTCGACTCTCCCATCATATTTTTCACATGTCTATATATAAAGGTATATAGAGGACCAGGAGCAAAATGCAATAATCAGATTGTATTTCTTCCATCAGCCAGCAAACAAGCAATAGGAACGCCAGTTTGGGGCAACTCCCCCATTCCTCATATTCAGTAACTATGATCGAATCACATAGAAACAATTAAGTACTGTCCATGATACTTTTCATCCAATTTTTCAGGACAAGCTGGGTACCTGTACTGCTTGGACCTTGAAGAAGGGGGTACACCCCAAAAGCTTCTCCTGAAAGATTGTATGTTGGTGCAAAAAAAAAAAAAAAAAGTACCACGGAGAGTACTCAATTGTTTCTGTCACAAGTTCACTCATACTACTACAATCACTTTCATCATAGAACCCCATAAATTCCAGGCGCTCAATATCTCGGCACCCCCCTCTACCCTAGCACAATTACGTGATGCTCTCCCTTTCTCCTGTGCCTCCCATCATCTCCTCTTTTTGGGCATTAAACTCACCGCTCACCGCTGACCCTGCATTTTTGTTCTCCTCTAATTATCCACCTATGTTAACTCATATAACCAATCTCATGTCCTCATGGTCTTCCTTACCCCTAGCAATGTCTATCCTGCCAAAAATACTTTACCTCTATAGGGTTCTCCCCATATCAGTCCCCTCATACTGTCTGAGAATCCTTCAACGACGTACCCACTCCTATGTCTGGGGCAAAGTTAGGTCTCGCAATGCTAAAAACAGGCTAGGCTAGGCCTCCCCAACTTTACTAAATATGACTATGCCACACAACTAGCTCACCTGCCTAAATACCATGCAGTGCATGAAACCCCCCTGTGGGTCGCTTTGGAAGCAGTGGACTGTGGCCCGCTTTATGTAGCAAACCTACTATGGATTCAACCACGAGACCATCGGACAATTTGCAATGCAGTTACTAAACATAGCCTATCCCTCTGGGATACCCTCAAGACGAGGTTCACCTTGCGCTAACCCCATAATCCCATGCTATCCTTCCTCTGCAACCCTGCGTTTACCCCAGCCTGGTCCACGGCCTCCCTGTTTCATAGCTGGTCATGCAGAGGCCTTAACAGAGCTTATAAACTGACGACTCCGGATACCTTCAAGCCCTTACCACATTTATGTGAATCCTTTGGCCTTCCGAGATCTGAGATATTTTGCTACTTACAAGTTAAACATTTCTTCACTCATAGCCTACGAAGTGACCCCTTCACCTCACCTATGACTAAATTTGAACAATTTTGTAAACATGATCCCCATGCATGCGGTATGATCTCCACCTGATATCCCCACCTGATATCCCCACCTCCACCTGCACGCATATCTTATGTCAGTAGATGGGAGAGTGATCTTGGTCAGCCTTTGGACCCCTCAGACTGGGATGATATCTGGTTGCACACTAAATCAGCATTCCCAAACATAGTAGCCTTGGAAACAAACTATAAAGTAATCATGCGATGGTACATGGTTCCCACTCGGATAGCCAAATTCCTCCCCTCCTACTCTTCCTTATGCTTTCGAGGCTGTCCTGATCCTGGCACTTACTTCCATATCTGGTGGCAATGGTCTCTACTTTCTGGGCTGAGGTTTTTGGTATCCTTACCTCGATACTTCCCTATTCTCTGCCTCCAAGCACTGCCCTATTGAACAAGAAACCTCCTGGCATGTCCAAACTCCACTTTAAGCTATTTCTGCAAATCACTACCACAGCAAAGCAAACTATTGCTAAAGCCTGGAAAACTCCTCACCTCCATATTTTGGAAGTTAAGCATAGGGTCACGAGAGCTTAGGTTCATACTAAACTTGAAGCGACTATCCAAGACACTGTTCACTCCTTTGAGCGTCTTTGGAAACCTTGGGTGCTTTGAATTATTATTTTTTGGTGCTTTGAGTCGAACATTAAAATAGAACGCTGTTACATAATTAGAAAAATAAAACAGATATAAAACAGTTTAAGAGTACACAATGCCTCTGACCCCCCATGAGTCTACAACAGCTTACTGTGCATTACTGGTCCATGACTTCCAATCTGCTGATAGGACCATAACCAACCCCTGTAATACAGATGGAGGCTCAAATATACATTTTGGATGGAGATGACCTTTAATATAATTTCTTCCTCATTGTAGGATCCGCCAACATCTATGGCCATCCTCTATCAGACCTCAGTCTTCGTCAGGAGCTCCGGAGAAAGATCGGCTTTTGTCCGCAGTTCGATGTCAACTTTGAGCTTCTAACGTTGAAGGAGAACTTGGAGGTTTTTGCTCAGATTAAAGGAGTTCCTAGAAGTAAAGTGAAATCCGAGGTACAAACCCATGTGCATATACAGATAGACATCAACAATAGACATCTGGAAATGGAAGGTTTGGATTCTTGTTGATCGGATTTATTTTATAGGTAGAAAAGGTCCTTTGTGACCTGGACATAGAGAACATTGAAGACCTGAGAGCCAATAAACTGAGTGGAGGTCAGAGGAGGAAGCTGACCCTGGCGATTGCACTATTAGGAGACCCCGAGGTAATCTTCTTCAGCTTCCATTAAAAAAAAAAGAAAAAACACTTCAGGGTGAATAAACAAAAAAAATGCATAGCTATTCATCCATCAAAACTGCATATAAATTTGTTCTGTGCGGATGAGGCAAAATGGAATGTTCTTAGGCTATAGTCTCCACAGCTTCATTCTTAGTCATTAAAAAGTGTTATTGGGGGAAAATACCACATTATGACCACCAGATGGCGTGGAGTATAACAGGAAATAAGTCTGCTCTTCAGCTCCATCTAGTGGGCATGATGCAGTATTATCCAAATCTACATGTACATGGAACCTAATTCAATCTGCAGAGACTGTAGCCTAAAAGCATTGGAGTTTTCCCAATTTGCACAGACTGCATTTAATAAACACACCCCGTTTAATAATTTTGTCTAACAACTTACTGATACAGGAGCACATAGATGAGTATCACAATATGAAATGTATGGAGTGAACATATATTATTGCCTTTATTAAAATGTTCCTTTAATTGCTGGTGTGCACCACAAATGTTCACAAATCTCTTTCATTTTTAAAATTGCCCCTCCTTCCAGGTTCTGTTGCTGGATGAACCGACGGCTGGCCTCGACCCGTTCTCCAGGCACTGTGTATGGTCTGTTCTCAAAGAGCGCAAAGCTGGCCACGTCACTCTATTCAGCACGCAGTTCATGGACGAAGCCGACATCCTTGCAGGTTCAGCATTCTAAGATTTTGGTGTCCACCTCTCTGTCCTAACATGAACTCTAGCTTGTTGGAAATTCTTATCCATATCTGTCCCTTATCTTCATATTTGGTTTCAGACCGCAAGGCTGTGCTCTCCAACGGGAGGCTGAAATGTGTTGGTAGCTCTTTTTTCCTAAAACGGAAATGGGGTATCGGCTATCACTTGAGGTGAGCATGGAGGCATGAACCTGTATGCAATGCTTTGTGACTTGCAGAAGATGTAGTTGGTGCACCAAGTATAGGATTCACCACACAACTCTAGGGTTAGGATTCTCCAAACTACTCCTCCAACATCTAGACTGTGGTGCAAACGCAAAGGGCCTCATACCTAAAATTTCAGGAAAGGGTTAGGATTCACCAAACAACTCCTCTAACATCTAGGTTGTGGTGCAAGTCATAAGGATCTCATACCTGAACCTTCAAGGAAGGGTCAAGATTTGCCAAACAACTCCTCTAACATCTAGACTGTGGTGTTAACACAAAGGGCTCCATATGGGAACCTACAAGGAAGGGTTAGGATTTGCCGAACAACTCCTCTAAGCTCTAGACTGTCATGAAAGCCATAAGGATCTCATACCTGAACCTTCAAGAAAGGGTTAGGATTTACCAAACAACTCCTCTAACCTCTAGACTGTGGTGCAAGCCATAAGGATCTCATACCTGAACCTTCAAGAAAGGGTTAGGATTCACCAAGCAACTCCTCTAACATCTAGACTATGGTGTTAAACACAAAGGGCTCCATATGGGAACCTACAAGGAAGGGTTAGGATTTGCCGAACAACTCCTCTAAGCTCTAGACTGTCATGAAAGCCATAAGGATCATCATACCTGAACCTTCAAGAAAGGGTTAGGATTTACAAAACAACTCCTCTAACCTCTAGACTGTGGTGCAAGCCATAAGGATCTCATACCTGAACCTTCAAGAAAGGGTTAGGATTCACCAAGGCATACCTGAACCTTCAAGAAAGGGTTAGGATTCACCAAGCAACTCCTCTAACATCTAGACTATGGTGTTAACACAAAGGGCTCCATATGGGAACCTACAAGGAAGGGTTAGGATTTGCCAAACAACTCCTCTAACATCTAGACTATGGTGCCAACACAAAGGGCCTCATACCTGAATCTTCAATAAAGGCAGTGCGGGGACAGGGTCAACCCAGTTCAGGGCAAAAATGCCAACCTCTCCCCTCCTCGGTTCATGATGTACAAGCTTAGGGGATTCTACATCCAGCAACCACTCGCTTGTCAAAATCACTGCCACTGTCGCTACTCCTGTCAGCCTTGTAACAGAAGGAAGGAAGGTGCCCCCATCCCTTCAGCGAACCATTGAACCCAGGGCAGCCACCCCTTCAGCCCACCCCTTGTCCCAGCCCTGAAAGAAGGGTTAGGATTCATAAAGCAATGTTCCTCATCATTGTGGAGAGTATTTTAGTGATACATTTTGCTCAATAATACTATACTTATTTTTTCTTTTTGGGGAACACAGGATGCAGGTGACCCCGTCATGTGACACAGAGGCCATCACATCACTCATAAAGCAGCACGTCTCCAGTGCCAAACTCAGCACACAGAATGTGGAGGATTTGACCTTCACCCTGCCATTTGAGAACATGGATGCCTTCCCAGGTACGGGGCACATGTCATGGTTTGGAGGATATAAAATAGAAGTTTGTTGTGCATTCATAGGCAGTGGATTCATAAAATAATGGGAAAAGGAAGCAGGGAGTGCAAAGACCAGGATCATGGAGCTATGGGTACCGCAAAGCTCCTGCCACATTTAGAAGCTGTATATCAGAAAAAAAGCAGGTGGGTTGACTCTGGGTCAGAGCTGAGAAGCTCTGCAGATCAGCTCTCTAGACATTTCCTGCTCTAGAACTTTGGAGAAAGGTCTAGAAGCAGTGGGTTGACCTTCACCCTGCCATTCTAGAACTTGGAGGCCTTCCCAGGCATGGGGCACATGTCATGGTCTGGAGGGTATAAAATGGAAGTCTTTTAGGCATTCATCTGAAGTGAATTGATAAAATAGCAGGGAGTGCACAGACCAGGAGCATGGAGCCAACAGAACCACAAAGCTCCGATCACATTTAGAAGAGCCGTATGTTGGAAGAGACAGCATGGAGGTAAATGTAATTAATGCATTACACGGAATTTCTCAACTTTTTTTCAGTCACAGCACCCCTTAAAAGTGTGCAAAATCACGAGGCATCCGAGTCTAAAATGTAAAGAACTCAAATGCTACTTATCAATAGGAGACCTGAGCCTGGGACGATGCACACAAGACCTCCCTTCATGTCAGAGTCCCCAATCACATCAGAGCCTCCCCTTCGATCAGAGGTCTCCCCCTCCTTTACATCAACATCGCCCTTTTATGTCAGAGGTTCCCCTATACCTCAAAGTAGCCCTTCACATCATTGCCCCCCTTCACATGAGATGTCCCCCATCACATCAGAGCCCCCTTCATGTCAGAGGACCCCCCCCCCCATCAGATCAGAGCCTTCCCCTTTACATCAAAGTCCCCCTTTTATGTCAGAGGATCCCCTACACCTCAGAGTAGCTTTTCACATCAGCGGTCCCCCAGCATATCAGAGCCCCACTTCATATCAGCGTGCAGTGCCCCGTTCATGTCAGAGGACCCCCCAAAACACATCAGAGATCCCCTCTTCACATCAAAGGTCCCCGAAACACATCAGAGCCCAGTCTCTCTTTTATTTTTAATATCCATTACAAAATATGATACAAAACAAAAAGAAAACAAAACATACTTCCAGCCTAATATACAGGAGATCGGAACGCGCGGTCTTTGGGGTCGGGGTAGTCCTACAAAAATGTATGAACACACGTTGAGAACATATTCAAGTAGCTGAGAGCTTTCCTTTCACATTGGGGTCCTCCATCAAGAGATCCCCTCTTCACATCACAGACCCCCATTACATCAGAGATCCCCTCTTCACATCACAGACCCCCACCCATCACATCAGAGATCCCCCCTCTTCACGTCACAGTCCCCCATCACATCTGAGATCCCCTCTTCACGGCACAGTCCCCCATCACATCAGAGATCCCCTCTTCACGTCACAGTCCCCATCACATCAGAGATCCCCTCTTCACGTCACAGTCCCCATCACATCAGAGATCCCCTCTTCACGTCACAGTCCCCATCACATCAGAGATCCCCTCTTCATGTCACAGTCCCCCATCACATCAGAGATCCCCTCTTCACGTCACAGTCCCCCATCACATCAGAGATCCCCTCTTCACAACACAGTCCCCCATCACATCTGAGATCCCCACTTCACATCACAGACCCCCATTACATCAGAGATCCCCTCTTCACGGCACAGTCCCCCATCACATCAGAGATCCCCTCTTCACGTCACAGTCCCCATCACATCAGAGATCCCCTCTTCACCCCTCCCCTTTCAGAGATGTCACACAGTCCCCCCCCATCACATCAGAGATCCCCTCTTCATGTCACAGTCCCCCATCACATCAGAGATCCCCTCTTCACATCACAGTCCCCCATCACATCAGAGATCCCCTCTTCACATCACAGTCCCCCATCACATCAGAGATCCCCTCTTCACATCACAGTCCCCATCACATCAGAGATCCCCTCTTCACATCACAGACCCCCATTACATCAGAGATCCCCTCTTCACATCACAGTCCCCCATCACATCAGAAATCACCCTTTTACATCAGGGGCCCCCTATATGTTAGATTCCCCAGTCACATCAAAGTCCCCGCTATATATCAGAGGTCACAAGTAACTACAGAGTCTCTCCATCACAAAGTTCGATGCCCCCATCACATCAGAGCCCCCTCATACACGAGAGTCCCCATCACATCATAGAGTCCCCTCATCCATGCAGGTCAAACTGGGTCTCATGCACGCAGCACCCCAAGGGAACCCAAATGGCACCCTGGTTGAGAAACATTACATTACACTAACCTCTCTCTGTCCTTTCCATTCATATTTCCTGATGCTCTTTCTTAACATTTTTTTTGTTTTTGCAGCTCTGTTCTCTGACCTGGAGGGACGTGTTGGACGTGACATTGTAAGTTACGGGGTCTCTATTACCACGCTGGACGATGTGTTCCTGAAACTGGAAGGGGAGGCCGAGATTGAAAGAGGAGGTGGGCGTCATTTTCATATGTTTTATCCATCCAGCAGTTCTGGATTAGGCATTTCAGGAAAATAGCACATTATGGCCATTAGGCCGCGCTAACAATCATAAGAAGCAAAGGCAAAAGGAAGTAGATAGCTAACTGCATTTTCTAGCAGGATCAACGGGTATTCTGTGCATTTATCAAATAGAAATCATAAAACACTTTTAATTGCTTATTTACTAAAACAAAAAGGAAGAAAATAAGAGAAATGAATTGTTCGGGTGAACATACACATTCCAAGGCTGAGTGCCAAGTCAAGGTCTCTATGACATTAAATCTAATATTATTAATACCAGCAAACCGACAACAAAATGTGCCAGAATCAAATTTCTACTGTCTATGTACAACACACCAAGTTATGATTTTTTTTTGACATTTTGAATGATTAGATTACGGTGTTTTTGCTCATGAGCAAAATGATCAGGAGGACCAGGATCACTTCTCCTCGGAGCCGGAGGATTCAGCCCTTCTGATGTCAGACTCTGGTATGCCCACCATTAGTGGAATGGCACTATGGAGACAGCAGGTGTTGGCTGTGGCGAGGATCCGATACTTGAAGCTTATCCATGATGTGAAAGGCTTTCGATCCATGTAGGTGATATCATTGGTTTATGGCAATATCTGCTGCAACTGGACTCTGGTATAGTAGAGAGAGTTAATCCATGTATGAAATTCTAAAATTGTGATGCAGGGGCATCAGATGGCATTAGGCAATTTGCTCCTAACTTCGTCGTAGATTTGTCAGAACAACAGCAAAAATTCTACGCTAGCTCCATCCAAAACTGCCAATGTAGCGTATGCAGGAGACACTAGGTTGTTCCTCCACACCAAAATGGTCCAACCATGTCTTTCTGAAGCTGACTTTGTACACATAAGACCTGGCTCTAACTGGTCGTCTAATTCATTCCAATTTGTCAGTAACAACAGCAGGACACTTGAGTTCCTCCACACCAAAATGGTCCAACCATGTCTTTCTGAAGCTGACTTTGTACACATAAGACCTGGCTCATAATGGTGGTCTAATTCATTCCAAAGGTGTTCAGTAGGGTTGAGGTCAGGGCTCCGTGCAGGACACTTGAGTTCCTCCACACCAAAATGGTCCAACCATGTCTTTCTGAAGCTGACTTTGTACACATAAGACCTGGCTCATAACTGGTGGTCTAATTCATTCCAAAGGTGTTCAGTAGGGTTGAGGTCAGGGCTCCGTGCAGGACACTTGAGTTCCTCCACACCAAAATGGTCCAACCATGTCTTTTTGGAGCTGGCTTTGTACAAAGTCATGGTGGAACACCAAAAAAAAGGTCTTCACCAAACTGCTACCACAGGGTTAGAAGAGCACAATTGTCTACAATGTCTTTGTATGCTTTAGTAGTAACAGAACCCTTCACTGTACACATCTGAAGACCCATCTGAAGTCCCATAAACTTACTGTCAACCATAGCATGTCAGATGTACTGTAGGATTAGAAATAAGAGTCTCTAAGCAAGTATCTTTAATCTAATATGCATGTAACACACCATATTGAATTTCAGACTTCTTCTGCTGGTACTGTTTATCCTTCCCCTGGTTACCATCACCATACTGGTTTTTCACTGTCATCTCTGTACAATACTGGGAGCTGACTCCACATCTTTACTTCCGAAGACCTGGAGATCGGGCACACGGATATTACTCCAATCTTCTGCTTGTCAACACAACTGGTACAAGACAAAAAGGGGCGTCATTTTCAGTTATCAACAATCTAAGCTAAAATATCTCATTTGGAAAATCAAAAACATTTTCTGTCTTAAAGCAGAACTAAAGCAGAAGGGGGTTACCAGAGCATTTACTATCATGTGCAAGTATGTCACACATTATAGTGACTAAGATTAGCCTCCTCCAGCTACACATGGTCCATGCTCCACCTCCTCACCCCGTATGCCTCTGCTGCAATCTTCTTCTAGTATTTTTCTTGTCTGCCAACTTCTGGTCCTCTTCTGGTCTGGCATCTTCTGCTAGTCTTCTTCAGGTCTGCCATTTTCTTTTGGTCTTCCTCTGGTCTTCCATCTTCTAATCGTCTTCTTATCTGGCATTGCATTCTAATCTTCTTCTGGTCTGCCATTTTCTTCTGGTCTGCCATCTTCTAGTCTTTTTCTGGTCTTGCATCTTATAGTCTTCTTCTGGTCTGCCATCTTCTAGTCATTTTCTGGTCTGCCATCTTATTCTAGTCTTCTTATGGTCTGTCATCTTATTCTAGTCTTCTTATGGTCTGCCATGTTTTTTTGGTCTGTCTTCTTCTAGTCGTCTTCTGGTCTGGCATCTTCTTCTAGTCTTCTTCTGATCTGCCATTTTCTTCTGGTCTTCTTCTGGTCTGCCATCATCTTTTTGTCTTCTTCTCATCTGGCATCTTATTCTAGTCTTCATCTGGTCTGCCATTTTCTTCTAGTTTTTTCTGGTCTGGCACCTTCTAGTCTTGTTATGGTCTGTCATCTTCTTCTAATCTTCTTTTAGTCTTCATCTCATCTGACATTTTTTATACTAGTCTTCTTCTGGTCTGCCATCTTTTTCTAGTCTTCTTCTGGTCTGTCATCTTCTTCTAGTCTTCGTCTCATATGGGATCTTATTCTAGTCTTCTTCTGGTCTGCCATCTTCTTCTAATCTTCTTCTGGTGTGCCATCTTCTTTTTGTCTTTGTCTCATCTGGCATCTTATTCTAGTCTTCATCTGGTCTGCCATTTTCTTCTATTTTTTTCTGGTCTGGCATCTTCTAGTCTTTTTATGGTCTGTCATCTTCTTCTAATCTTCTTTTTGTCTGCCATTTTCTTTTAGTCTTCATCTCATCTGGCATCCTATTCTAGTCTTCTTCTGGTCTGGCATCTTCTTTTAGTCTTTTTCAGGTCTGACATCTTCTAGTCTTCTGGTCTGCCATCTTCTTCTAGTCTTCATCTCATCTGGCATCTTCTTCTAGTCTTCATCTCATCTGGCATCTTATTCTAGTCTTCTTCTGGTCTGACATCTTCTGCTAGTCTTTTTCAGGTCTGACATCTTCTGGTCTTCTTCTGGTCTGCCATCTTCTTCTAGTCTTAATCTCATCTGGCATCTTCTTCTAGTCTTCATCTCATCTGGCATCTTCTTCTAGTCTTCATCTCATCTGGCATCTTATTCTAAGCTTCTTCTGGTCTGTCATCTTCTTCTAGTCTTCTTCTGGTCTGCCATCTTCTTCTAGTCTTCATCTCATATGGGATCTTATTCTAGTCTTTTTTCTGGTCTGCCATCTTCTTCTAGTCTTTTTCTGGTCTTTCATCTTCTAATTTTGTTCTGGTCTGCCATCTTCTTCTAGTCTTCTTCTGGTCTGGCATCTTCTTCCAGTCTTTTTATGGTCTGCCATCTTCTTCTAGTCTTTTTCTGGTCTGTCATCTTCTAATTTTGTTCTGGTCTGCCATCTTCTTCTAGTCTTTTTCTGGTCTGGCATCTTCTAGTCTTTTTCTGGTCTGTCATCTTCTAATTTTGTTCTGGTCTGCCATCTTCTTCTAGTCTTCTTCTGGTCTGGCATCTTCTTCTAGTCTTTTACAGGTCTGGCATCTTCTAGTTTTCTTCTGGTCTGGCATCTTGTTTCTTCCACCGTCCTGCCCAGATGCCAGGAACATACACTGCCCTGTTCATGCACTAAATGCAATTTTTTGGCAGAAGAAAACTCTACTTTTTGGGGTCTAGTTTTGGGGTCTAGTTATAAAAACACATGCTGTGCAAATGCCTTGAGCATTTACACAGCTTTCAGGTATCATAGTTGTCAGCTCCATCTAATGGTCATAATATGGTATTTTCCTGAAATACATAAATCAAGAAAATACTGCATTATGGCCACTAGATGGAGCTGCAGATCATAGAAATTTAATACACACATTATGGCGATTATTTGAGATGGCTGTGTGAATTCTTGAGGCATTCGCATAATGTTTTATAAATGGACCCATTTGGGTTTAGTTCAGCTTTAAAGAAGAACCAAAGAGTTAAAAAATATTTCATATCCATTATTGGCACACAAGCCAATATTCAAATCAGTGTTCCTATAAAATGTTGATTTCTGGAAATAAACACTGTACCTTTAATTTAAATGCCTTGGAGTCTGCTGGGGAAGAGAAATAATACTGTCAGGCAGTATGACATGCAGATGAGTGCCGTCGATCTTAGAATCACCGCACACTTCACTCATTTGGGCAGTCACGGGGCCAAAACCAGAGTGTGGAGCCACAGTGTGGCGGTGGAGGCAGCAGCAATGGGAGGCCATACAGCACCCTATGACAAAAATGGAAACCACCAGCAGTGTGAGGAGACCTGAAAGTGGCACATGGCAGAGTGTGGCGATAGAGACAGCAGCAATGGGAGGCCGTACAGGGACCCATGACACACTCTGGAGGACCTGGCAGCAGCATGAGGAGGCGGTACAGGGGCCCATGGCAGATTACGGGCCTGGCAGCAGCATGAGGAGTCGGTTACGGGGGCCCATGGCAGATTACGGGCCTGGCAGCAGCAATGGGAGGCCGTACAGGGACCCATGACACAATCTGGACCTGGCAGCAGCATGGGGAGGCGGGGTACAGGGGCCCATGACAGATTACGGGCCTGGCAGCAGCATTTGGAGTCGGTACGGGGGCCCATGACACACTCTGGACCTGGCAGCAGCATGAGGAGGCGGTACAGGGGCGCATGACAGATTACGAGCCTGGCAGCAGCAACTTGGACAGGAGGACGTTCATTTTTCTGCACCGTCTGGTGCGTGCTCGCAAACTGTTGTCTCTTGGAAACGGATTCCAAGAAAGACTGCTGACGGAATCCGTGAAGAGGAGTAGCAGGAGAAGGAGCATCTGAACGAGCGGAATATGCCAACAAGCGACAACAGGGGCCCATGACAGATGGCAGGGAGGATACGGGCCATCTGCAGCAGCATGAGGAGTCGGTACCCTATACGGGGGCCCATGGCAGATTAGGGGCCTGGCAGCAGCTATGGGAGGCCCGTAATCTGCCAGCACCCTATGACAAAAAAAAATGGAACCCACCAGCAGTGTGAGGAGACCTGAAAGTGGCACATGGCAGAGTGTGGCGATGGAGACAGCAGCAATGGGAGGCCCGTACAGGGACCCATGAGAGACTGTGGACCTGGCAGCAGCATGAGGAGGCGGTAAGGGGCCCATGGCAGATTAGGGGCCTGGCAGCAGCTATGGGAGGCCCGTAATCTGCCAGCACCCTATGTACAAAAAAATTGAACACACCAGCAGTGTGTGAGGAGACCTGAAAGTGGCACATGGCAGAGTGTGGCGATGGAGACAGCAGCAATGGGAGGCCGTACAGGGACCCATGAGAGACTCTGGACCTGGCAGCAGCATGAGGAGGCGGTATATAGGGGCCTATGGCAGATTAGGGGCCTGGATTAGGGTCCTGGCAGCAGCTATGGGAGGCCGTAATCTGCCAGCACCCTATGTCAAAAAATGGAACACACCAGCAGTGTGTGAGGAGACCTGAAAGTGGCACATGTTTGAGGCATGATTCATGGCGGATTTAGTCAGTTGTGTCAGGAACTGGTGGTTTGAAATCCAGACTAATCCACGCCTGATTCATTTTCACAAACGTGAGTCTCTCCACACTTTGGGTGGACAGTCGTGTCCTCCGCGGAGTTACAATACTCCTGCCGCACTAAACACGCGCTCCGATGCCACGCTACTGGCCGGGCATGACAGCCTTTCAAGGGCAAATTCAGCTAGTTGGGGCCAAAGGTCAAGTTTCGTTGACCAGTAGTCAAGGGGATTGTCTACCTCGGTTGGCAGGGTGCTGTCCAAGTAGGCCCAAGCCTGTTGTTTGAGGTCCTGCTCCAGGTCCACCTGATGATGCTGCTGCTGCTGCTGCTGCGGCTGGTTAGTAGTTTCCTCACTGCGCTGGTGAAGAAAAGCTACTCATCATCGACTGCAGACTGAGGCAGCCGCTGCTGGTGGAGCTGCCACTGCTCCTACCACCCCACCCCCTCCCCTGCTGCCATGGCAGCGGAACGCGAGCGCACAGGGCCCACAGTGTCTGAGGATGGACGTTGGCGCACAAAGGCAGAGACCAACTGACTACATAGGTGGTTTTTATAGTACGTTATTTTTGGCCTCCCTCTCAGCAGGTGTGAAAAAGGCCACCATTTTTGAACGGTAGCGAGGGTCCAACAAGGTGGACAGCCAAAAGTCATCCCTCTGTCTGATGGTTATTATTCGGCTGTCGCTACGCAAGCAACCGAGCATGCTATGGGCCATTTGTGCCAAGGAATGCGAGGGACTCCCTGCCTCCATCTCCACAGCATACTGCCACGGTGCGTCTGGGTCCTCTGTCTCCTCCTCCTCCTCCTCTACCAGATGCTCCTGCTCCTCCACTCCTGTCCGCTGAGTGGAAAAACCACCCATTTCACTCAATAATTCCTGAGCACAAATGTCCTCCTCTACCTCCTCCTCTTCTTCCTGTCCTGCCCCCACAGGGGTCATGTGGCGTTGAGATCTGTGCGCCACGTCTACCGCACCCTGACCAGCCATTGTTAACAGCATTGTTCAAGGACGTGCAACAGAGGAATGACGTCGTTCATCCCATAGTCCTGCCGACTCACGAATAGCGTGGCCTCCTCAAAGGGCCTGAGCAAGCGGCAGGTGTCACGCATGAGCTGCCAATGGCTGACATCGAAGTTACACAGGGGAGTAC